TCACAATTTTTTACCGAAATCAATAGAACCAAAATGTACGACTTTTCAACACTAATCTTTAAACAACCATTCCTCACGATAAATAAAAGATCCGACATTTGACATCAACAACTGTTTCTACAATAAAAATGTAACTCGAAAATTTTGCATACTTTATCATTGGTCATCTGCAAACTTATTTTGTTAAAAAACATTTTGATTCTAGACACAAGTAGCCGGAGGTTGATATTAAAAAGAAGCTTGAGTTTCTCATTTACAAAATCTATGTTGTTTTTGGAGATGAAGACTGTTGGAATACCCATGGATATTAATACTATGCCCCGCTATTAGCAGACCTATTTTGTTTTCTTATGAAGCAGAATTAAGTCAAAAACATCTATATACATGAAAAGAAGAAGTGTCTTGTCGTGACCTTCAATTAAACTTTAGATATAATGGTGACGTTTTATCAATTAATAGTTTCATTCCTACGTTGATCTTATATATCCAATTGAACTCGAAATAAAAGACACCACAGTGTGACACATTTGTAGATTTGGATGATTTAAGATATTGATGACAAACTGACAACTAAACTTTATGATAAACGTGATGACTTCAACATTTCTATCGTCAACTTCCCTTATTACGTAGCAATATACGATTATCACCTGGTCGCCCGCGTGGCGCAGTGGTTAGAGCGTTTGCTCTAGAGTCGCGGAGTAGGGAGATGATCCTTACTTCGCGGGTTCGAATCTCACTGCGGGACGTGGAGACCGGTCCTTCGGATGAGACCGTATAAACCGAGGTCCCGTGTCGCAGTAAGTGCTCGCACGAAAAAGATATCTAAGTGCCGAGTGCAGGTCTAAATTAGCCGCCCTCCACCGGCAAGTGGTGGCGTCTCAATTGACAAATAAGTTGATGATACAAGGATATCAGTAATCTCTTTTAACCTCAACATTTCGCAAACAATGACCTTGTTTGTATATATAATCCGTCGTTAAGTCAGATGTTGACTGACGTCTTTCATACAAATTTTTATGACACTTTTTTCACAGAATTTTACGCATTTTCCCGTTTACCCGATCATGACGAGGAGCACACAGCGGGTGTGACCGGTCGACAGGGAATGCTTACTTTTCAATGGCACCAAATTTTGGTCTCTGTGTACATGATGAATGTACTAACTTTGAATTTTATTCGTGTCAAATACATGTATGCTCTCCCAGGATTGTGTGGACATATACAGAGATATTAATTTTTCATCGATAGCTTGAATTGTCAGGAGGCGTAGACATTTTCTCGTGTTACGGTGGCCTTTCAAACAATAACGTACTTTATACATTTCCCAGGGTTGGAAAGTTTAGTCAGTGCATACACCATTTTCTATGATCAAATAGGTTAGGCGTATGACGTTGTTTGATAGTACCACTCCAAAATCCAAACTATTGGCGAAATGGTTCAAACTATGAGTAAAATTGTAATAAAATTGTCCAAACTATCACATGTATCAGTAACATTCTCCTTAATAACCTGATTATTTCGAAACATGATCATTATAAACAGCGAGAAGTCAGTCAGAGGAATTTGTTGTTATTACAAAGTAAAATTTTGAGTAAGTGTTTATCAAATTACATTCAAATAAAAGTCATTTAACTAGAAGTTCTAGAAATGAACGTGTCTACTTAACGATTGGTTTGCTTTTTGGGGAAGGAGTTTTAGGTTTATACATGTAAATATGAGGTTAATCTTAAGACCCAGAACTAAACTTCTATGTTTATTAATGACTTCGAATTCAATGTTAAAAAGATACTTATCGATCATAATACAAAAACGCCATCTCATTTCCCCTGAGCTATTGTTCTTCTAACACTGTTAATATCCTTTTCCAACATTTAATTATTCATCAATCTTATCAGACTCTTCTCTTCACTGCATTTAAATTTATATATATTTAGAATCCGTAAGTGAACTTTAAAAAACGGTTCCCTTAAGTCATCATGGTTTTATCAATAGACCATTCTGTATTGAATAATTCATCGAGGTCAAGGGAATTTATACAAAATTAAAGATGGATTTTTGAAAATTTCTATGGGAGCAAGTACGTACGCACTGCCATGACATCCTGGATTCAAGACAAAGTGTGATTTAGGGTAAAGTGGGGTATATGGAATGTTCAAAACTTTTCATTTTGGAGGATTGTCATGTTCTAAATTTTGAATTTACCGGGTGGGAGTAAATACAAAATTTAAAACATGACAAAGTTGTCATGTTCTAAATTTTGTATTCGTATGTTCTAAATTTTGTATTCGATTTCAAATATCAGTTTTGGTAGAATATTTTGTATCCCACAACTTCCATTATTTGTCAAACTTCTGTATAGTTATACCATATAAGGCTCGAAAGTTCTCTCTAGTGGGGGTATCCATACGCTCACACATGTAAGAAAATACTTTCATAGTTTATTATATATTTCGCCGAAATGAAACTTGTATTAAAATCTGACCAAACGAAATAAGAGAAATTCCGCCCAAATGAAAGAAACATTTGTCATGACATTTCAAAAATCCGCCCAAATGAAATGCACTCGGAATGTTTACACAAAGTCGTGGGCAAAGAGTGATAGGGACAGACTTATGCTTAATATTCCCCCACCCCCACCCCGATCAAAAGTTAGGAATGGATACAAGTGTCTTAATGTCCTCATTCATGCACATTTTTGCAAAATTTTGAGCAGAATTTACACAAGGTTCTTTGTTTGGTATGGTTAAATGATTTCTGTCGATCTGTTTTTAAAATTTCTTTTCCCCCACATTTCTCTTTGGTATTGTTTCCTCTGGGGTCTCTGTTTTGGTTACCGATCTAATTATATTTCTAACCATTTACCAAGAAAAATAACCTTCGACGATTCACACCCCTTAGCAATAACTAATATAGATTGGGACAGCCCGTACATAAAGAAGCATTAATAATTCACATGTAACTGATTTAGACTTATATTGTGTGTGGCTTTCAGCGCGGTCACAGTGTTTTAAAGGCAATGATGAATTGTTAATGCTAATATTGAATACCATAAAAACAATATACGGAAGGTCTATTCTATGTATACCAATGTTCATTAATGGTCTGCTTGTACCATCAAATACTCAAAACATCACTGCATTCAAATAATAAGGTTATTTTACATAATATGGCAAATAAAATTCAATTCTACGTACATTTTTTTTTTAATTTTGCCCTGCGGTCCGTATAAAAGAGGCTGTGATACATAAAGGAAATGAAGGGAAAAAAGCATCTATACATGTGAAATAGTGTAGGTGGCACTAATGTATAGATTAAAAACAATCAAATAACCGGACAGAATTATTACCACTAGGTCTCAAACAAAAATAAACCAATAAAATTCAATATTTAATGGATAATTGACGTTTTCTTCTGCTTTTTAAATACATTGAATTGACTCAAGGTCTTGACTCCAGGGAAATTTCGTTCCTTATAAACTGTTTTAGGGAATTTATGAGACGTTTTGTTGAACAACGATAAAAAGAAAAATTATATTAAAAACTATAATTTGGGCTCTATGTGAGGAAATTTTGAAGTCATATATGTGAATATAAACCTTTTTTTTTTTTTTTTTTTTTGCTTTTTGTAAGCTTAAGAACAGCCTGTCAAAGTCAATACGCTTTTTTTATATAGAAGAAGCATACATACAGTAGTATTATGTATTTGGATATCTGACTAACGACCTGCCAATGATACTGATCTATGTCTCTTAACAATCGGTCCACACGTCATTTAAGTATGCATTTGATTTTTTTCCCTCCTCTCAATGTTGAAAAACATTCTTCAATGACCTGGCCCCGGGATCATGAAACAGACTTAGACTTTTAAAAGTCAAATGTTCAATCACCTGTAAAATGTTTATTAATTTTCAGACTCAGTATTGCAGAAAACAGCACTCTGGTGACTATATTATATTATATCGACACATATATTTGTTTTTCTCTGTTTGTCTTCTACAACATTTCAAAACAATATAAAGATTTTGACTAAGACTTCAGATGTTTTACGATCCCCGGGCCTGATTCTAATCCCCATTTCGATATCTTTTTTAAAGGTCTGACGACACGTTTCTCAAACATCTTCTTGTTTCTCCTTGTAAAAAAGAAATATTCATAATATTTAACATTATCTTGTGAATTCTAAACTGTTTTCAAAATGTCTTAGAAAATAAATACAACAAAAAATATGATATTGACAATTCAAATGATTTCAAATAGGATTATATAGTAAACGCCACCCTCTGGTATCTTGCACAAATGCCTGGTAAGGTACCTCAATTTTTTGTGAGGAAACTTGTCAAAGTAGCAGTTCTTCAATGACAAATTTTTGGGGAAAATTCTATATTATTGAGGAACGCGTCGTCTGACCTTCCTACAACCTTTATAAGTACCTTTCAGTTCAGTACATATATGTTCTATTACATGAAACAATTAATTATTAAATAATTAATCATTAATATCTCTTATCTGCAAGTACTTCGATATAAATAATAATTTATAAGAGTGTTTTCAGATACCTAAGAGTGTAAAGAGGTGTCGTAAGGGAAATATATTCAAGTAGGCAAACTCAAACCCAAAGGACAGGGGTGGGAGAAGGGTACCAATAATTTTGCCGGTATATACTTTACAATATAAAACAAAACCCCATCTATAATTTTGCTTTATACAATGGAAACAAAACTAATTTACGGTTGTGCCACCTCAAAAGAAATAGTAAATAAATAGAAAAAAGTAAAAATAAAAAAGATAAAATAAATAAAAGTCTGGTGACCTTTTTCTCATTTTTTTTTTTGGGTCAAGAATTTTTGTTAGGTCGTGCCCCTCCCTCTCCATTGAAATGTTGCTTCCAAGGGCTGAAACATACCCCCTCCCCTACCTTTCACTGAAATGGTGCTTCCTAGGGCTGAAACATACAGTAACTCTTTTTATTTTGTTGTTACACAAACTGCAAAAACTTACTTGGCGTATATTTCTAGACCAGTGACCAGCATGTCCTTTTGAATGAGATCCCAGCTGTATAGGACCAGCTCCTGCTGCCGTGGGGTCAGGTCCGGCCGGCAGAGAGCGGGGGTGTTTTCAGATGACGGAGATTGTCCATCTATGGATGTCCCGCACCCCATCCTCTCCCATAACCCAGTAGGATAAACAAGACACCAAGAACCACACAAAGTCAGCTCTGAGAATCGTACCCAGAAACCACACAAAATCAGCTCCGAGAATCGTGAAAAAGTCAACACTCCACGAATAGGAATGATGAATGTTCAATACCTGAACAACTGTGTTTTTAAACATTTCCGATGGTACTATCAATTATGTATAGAGACATCTTGCATAACTGTTTCTTTAACAGTTAATTTGTTATGGGTGAAATTTCGATTTTTAAAACCCATTTCAACTGTCGTTTTGAAGTGCACTTAATTAGCGGCGGTAAACTTGTAAAAAAAAATCCGAATTTTCAGTCTTTATTTCAATATTCCCATGATGTTACTAAATATATATTATTCATTTCTATATTCCATGTGCGACATTAATCGGCTAATCGACAATAGCTGTGAGAATAAAACGCCGATGTTCCTCGACATAACTTTACATTTCTGCACGTCAACTATCTGCTCGGAGTTTTACAGTGAGTGATGCGGCCTCCGAACTCAATGGATGGGGAGACGAGATTTGTCTTCTAATTATTGTTAGTTCAACTCTTTACTTGTGACAGAACATACAAAAAACCGATCAATTAATGAGATTATGTCGAACTTCTGTAGGTTTATATAAAGGGACAGAGAAGCCTAGAAAACATCTAATTAAAGAACATTTGCGATAAGAATTCGATCACGTATTAAAGACCACGTGATCTGATATAATGTCTGTATTTTTTACATAACGTTGTTTAATCTCTCAACTAGCAATGCCATAAAAAGAAAAGATAATAATTAGTGCATTTCTAATTATAGCATCTCTCTCTCTCTCTCTCTCTTTCTCTCTCAGACAAATTATTTAAGGAGGTATATGATAGACGACAACACTGGGCCTTAAAATGGACTCACATTTTTATGGATTTATAATTGAAAAATTAATTTCCACAGAATGTAGTTAAAGATAATAAATAAGCACAAAAAAATGTATAATCAGATGTAAAGTCTCTCATTGTTTGGTAAACAGCATTATCAAAATCACTTTAAACCTGGTTTAAATGACATAATTTTAATATTGAATGTTCCAATAAAAAATGTGTATAAATTGTGGATATCAGGGTTACGGAAGCCCATTTAGGACCAATCAAAAAATAATTTTGAATTCGATATAACGAATTGTCAAATTCGTAATAACGAATTTAAATCGTTATAACAATTTATTTGAATTCGTTACAACGAATTTGTTATAACTGTCTGTTATAATAAATTTGTTGAATTCGTTATAACGAATTCAAAAATTTGTTATAACAAATAAAATTCGTTTAAATGAATTCTTAAATTTGTTATAACAAATTAAATTTGTTTAAACAAATTCTTAGATTTGTTATAACGAATTCAATTCGTTTTATCAAATTCAACAATCAGGGCCTGTAGAAAAATATATATGAATTCGATATAACGATTTGTCGAATTCGTTTTAACTAATTTAATTCGTTATAACAAACTAAAGAATTCGTTTAAACGAATTAAATTCGTTATATTAAGTTTTAGAATTCGTTATAAAGAATTTAATTTGTTATAACAAATTTTTGAATTCGTTACAACGAATTCAACAAATTTGTTATAACAGATTAAATTCATTATAACGAATTTGACAATTCGTTCAAAAATATTTTTGATAGGTCCTAAATGGGCTTTCGTAAATATGTTTTTTATTATAATTATTATTTATACTGATAGTTTAGTTTATCTGTGCTATTTCTTTGTATTTTGTACTTCCTTAGGACTACTGCCTATTTGTTAGTTCTAGAAATGATAAAAGCTATCTTTGTTGTAGTGGGAAGATGCATTTGCTATTTGTGTTATCAACTTTTTTTTCCTATGGATACACATGTAACTTTAATTATAGATATAGAATTACTGATGGGATGGTTTTATAATGGGAATTCTCGCCTCGACCTTATAGAAGGACACTCTTCCGTATGAGGGACATGGGATCCATGTATTTTGTTAACTGGGTGTTGAGAGGACTCAATCTATTCATCACACATCTTTGGTAGCATCAATATTTTACCAGAACAGCAGTTCCGTCTTTGAAAATAAAATGCCAAGGAGGAGAGGGGTTCCTTAATGTCACATATGATTGATAATTGAATGTTGCTCTCCGCGATTTTAGAATTTTTGACCTAGATAAAGAGATCATCCACTTAAGGTGAAATGTCACAATTTTGATTTAAGCATGATTTCATTATTGACCAACGCCTGTCGTGGGACGGGACCTTCTTTTTTAAGATAATATCCAAAAGACCCATGACTTTTACTTTAATGCTGAGGACTTAGCAAGGGAACTGTCACTACCCATGTTAAACACTTCAGTTTTTGACGTGGCACTGGAAAAGAGATTTTAATCTTCAGGTTTCAAGAGTGCGAAAGGGGTCTCGAACCGTTAAGGGCCCATTTTGTACCTGGGGTGTTGTAGAACTCTGTTAGTCATGGATATAGTAAAACTTAATTTTGATATGCGTATAGTGGAAGGAACTGTTGAAAATCTATTTCATTTCATGGGGTGCAGTTAGAAAGTGGGGGGGGGGGGCAAAGACTCGACTTTTTTTATATACATTTTGTGTATTACAGGTTAGATAGCATTTTTAAATAAATATATAGAGAATATTCAATGTTTTGTAGATGAATATGGAATTTATTTCACGAGTGGGACAGGAGTGAAAATATCAAAAAATCTTGTCTCACAGGTGAAATAAATTCCACATTCATCTACAAAACATAGAATTTTCTGTTTATTACATTTTCTCAGATTTTTACCGTTGCCGAGCTGTCTTTTCGTAACACATTGTCATAGGCTGTGATGTCATAGCTGAGCCGTTGTGACGTCATAGCTAAGCGATTGCGAGAAAAAACATTGTAAACCTGGAATTTTAACGACATACTTGGACATACTTGGAAAAACTTTGACAGTATGACTATTAGTCTCTATCAGGATGGCTCATTAACTCTATCTTATAACAGGCCAGGTTTTTTTTTGTTTTTTTTTTTTTAAAAAAAAACACTCTTCGTGAGAAGGGAAGGAAAATCGTAAGTTTTGCCGCACTTCTGATATCCTTTCACACTTTGTCAGAATATCACTTTTATCCAGTAAATAATTACAGTATTACAAAGCAATTCTTACGATGTTATTTCATTTTACGTAGATATATATTTTTTAGTACAACCATTCTGAGTTTTATGTACTGACTATGCATATGAATATAGTCAACATGTATTTGTATTAATATTTTCATCCCTAAATTTATGATTTTTTTATTTTTTGTAAATGTAGAATTTTTAATTTATCAATTACAACTTAATTTTTTTATTTAATCACAAACAAAATCCATTCAACGCTTTCAACATTTGATCAAATTTTTATAGTTCAACAGAAACTTAGTATACTCATTTTTTCATGGGCATTTTCTGCGTAAAATAGGTACCACATCTATATAGAAACAATACACAATTAATATAAAAATATAATACTTTTAATTAAATGCTAATTAAACATTTTTCAACACCATACGGTGTGCATTTTGTAAAGATTTACATTCAAAATATGCAAAATGTAAATGCATCAAAATTTTGTCATAAAAAATATCTTAAGCCTTGAATTAAACACTCTTTGCATTTATTACTTAAGTCTGATATCACTGCATGAAAATTTGGCTTTACAAAACAAGTAAAGATAATGTAAATTTATTATTTACAATGCCTTTAATTGGCTTTTCTGAAAAAAGTCAAAGTTGGAAAAGGTAACCTTTACATTAACTTTACATGCACTTAAATATGATGTAATGTCCCACATTGTCTTGACTTTACAAAAAAGTAAAGTTAATATTTACAAACATTAAACACAGTATTTGGGGTACATTAAATCTGATAATTACAAATATTAAATTTAATTAAATAACATCTTTAATAGCCACAAAAGTTAATTACTGTTTTCCATTCTTTTGAATAAAGCTTGTGCATATAATAAATAAGCTTTTCCTTCCAAATTGAAACTGCAAAAGAAGTCTGGACATCATACTTAATATACAAAGTAACAACAGATTGACTTAAACTTTGTTTATTACTATACTAAACATTTTTATACAAACATATAATCAACAACATCAAATTTCTTGACAGTATCTGTTTTACATAGTCTATCCTGCAAATCCCATACATACACATAGATAAGTATCCAGGACAGAGTACACTGCACTAAAATCCTTTTCAAACATGTCATTTTGTTTTATAAAGAACCAATTGTTCATCCTTGAATTTAAAGATTTGAATTGACATGAAACTGTGCTCCACTTTTTTGTTACTCGACATGCGTTTCTGTGGAAATCAACAACTGTCCAAATATATATTTTGTCACATATTCCTTTTCAGAGTCCAAAACTTTTATTCTCATGCAGGCAGTCTTCTACTGTTTTCCTTAAAAGAAAAAAAAATATATATATTTTCAGTGACATGAATATTTTCATGGGCATCTGTGTTATAAATTTAAATAAACTGTGATATCAGTATTCACAGTATCATGACTAATGAAAATTGAAACGAGATGCAACCATATTAATACATGTAGATAAAAATTTCATACATGACCTTTAACCTCAAAAAGAAAATATTCTGAACCATTAATGTCAGCCTTTATTTTTACCAAAAAGACTATGTTAATCTCATTAAATAAGACAGATACAAACTGATGAACATGTTGCTATTAACTTATTTTATGATATAAATGGACTGGGCCACAAGCCCTTATCTTACCCCTAAAATTAAAATTTAATTAATAACTCTGTAATTTCTTTGTTTATCATTACCTAATTTTTCTTTTGAAAGGATTATTTACAAAATATGCTAATGTAGGTGTAAAATAAGATTTCTCATGACCTTCTGTAGCTAAGATACTTTTGCAGAATTGAGAAAATGTTTGTCTTACTTGCAAGATAATTTGTGAAAAAGTACTGGCATCAGTATCTATGAATAATTACTGAACACATATAATTAACTCCATTTTCCTTCTTAGTCATCAGGTAACAAAAAGACCAATAGTTGCTGCTTATAGAGCTATAGTATGATGTTCAAGTTATGGTTTAGGATATATGTACCTTTCTCCCAGTAGCATGTTGCTGCTCATGAATTATTTCCTGATCTTGGAATTGTAAAAGTTGACAGGTCCCTCATTTTGAAGATAACATGCTAAAATGGAATTTATACTTTGATAAACATTTCATACATCTGGATAAATATAGTCAATGTTTTCATAAATACTTTTGAGTTTGAAGCATACCAAAGAATGATTTTAAAAATACACAATGCAATCACAGTTAATAGTTATGAATTGCCGAACACCCTTATGTTTGTTTTCTTCACAATTAAAGAATACTTTAGGTCTAAGCAACACTTGCCATCTATAAAATTATACTCTTGAACTCTTCTCAAGTGTTTCTTCTTCATGAAAATTTGTCAATAAGGTGTTAGCTCTCTCACAGTAAGCTGAGTAGCTGGAGCCTGGAAAAAGTAATAACACATTTTTTGAAAACAGAAATATATAATTATACTGACTCCCGAAAAAGTCAAGCAATTGATAATTTAAATAATTGTTTAAGTAACATTTTTATGATATTATTTATTGATTTTTTAAAAAAACTAATACGTACAAGTACCATCAAAAAAACATTGGGATCCCTTGGTCTGGTAAATCATACATTGTTGTCATCCATGACTTTCTTCAAGAACCTGCATAATTGATTTCACTGTACCTGTTTTTGAAAATGGACATGGTTTAGAATACAAAATAATATCTTTAAAATATAACCTAACTTGTCTTCTATTAAGAACATTGCCCCTACCCTGGCTTCTACATTTTTTTTCCTAGCACTAATGTAAACAGCTAAACATTCTGAAATTGTGACCTAGAATTGTTTTCCTAGGTCTTGTTTAACATGTTTAATCCATGATCATTTACAGAAAAAAAATGGAACATTATCCCCAGTTTATCAAGTTACTTATCTAAAAACACATATTTAGCGTAGTTTTTCCTGACTTTCATCAGTTTCAATGTTTCACAATGTATGCTGAAAACAGATGGAAAACGTAAACAAACCTGCAGTGCATGCCAGCCCGGGAGCTCGAACAGTTTTCCAAGCAATAAACACCTTAAATCTTCTGGTAGATGAAAAGGTATCAATTCAACTGATCACTGGTTGCATATTTTCGTCAAAAATACCAGAAAATACCGATGAGACCCGCTCAACTTGATTTGAAATGATTGGCTATTCATTCGAATACACAGTGCCATATTTGGGTTACTGTTAAAAGTACATCGTTCGTTTTGTATTCGAGAAGACTTGGATGAAGAGGATTACACAATACTGAGGTGGAAAACATCCGTATATATGATAAAATATATTTCATTATTTTAAAGTAAAGGTTGTCAAATGAACGGGACGTATTACTGATATTACCTCTTCTAAACGAAACTAATAAGCGTAGGACTTATTCAGGGCATTTGCAATGTATGGGAACCAGTCTAAGAGGCAACAAAATTCCGCCAAGAATAAACAAAGAGATTGCGAGATGTTTGCGTGTGACACTGCTTGCAAGGTAATGAATATGTGCTTATTTTTTGTGTATAACTGTTTTCTGTCTTTCAAGATATTGAACAACAGTCGTTTAACATTTAGACGAAACATCTAGGGGAGGGAGAGAAGAAGAGGGGTCACCTCTCAAGTTGTTGAATTGCATCTACTATATAGTGGTGGCATCAGTGTCAGGATACAATAAATTAAAATGGAAAAAATCATAATAAAAATTTTGTTATAAATTTAGGAAAGCTAAATAAATGGGCGACTATTTTTTGTTTGATGCGGGGGGAAAGGGGGGGGGGGAAGGGGGGTTAAAAATATATTAACCACAAAAATGTTTAAAGGATATAATCTCATCTCAACTGAAAAAAATGATTAATAATCTTCCCTCGTCTGATGCCATTATTCCCTTTACTTCACTGAAATAAGAGTTTCTGAGTCAGTTTTTTATTTTCCTTTTTGTAGTCGCGATGGGGGGGGGGGGGTTCAAACTTTGTTCATTTAAGATAAACATGAATAATCTGTCCCTCATTATTAAGGAAATCAAATATTCTGTTCATCACTGACTGGAAAATAAAACTTAGCTGTCAAAAAATTACCTTTTCATAATTTATCTTTTGTAGAAACAAAGGGTGAGAGCTAATGCATATGGTGCTAAGTATGGAAAGGTCTCTTGTGGTTTGGTTGTGCCAGAGACAAATGTGCATTATTTCCATGTTGGGTAATGTCCTTAAGAATGGAATTTTTTTTCAAATACAAGGGACTTGACTTTTTCATATATTATCACTGTACAGGGATCAAAATATTTTTAAACAATGTTAGATACTCACTACATTATTTCATCTTCAGAAAAGTATTTAAATTATTTTCTCACATTTTTTAAAGAGACCAGTGTGGTGAAGAGATTTTTTTAAATTTTAATCTTGAATTTTGATATTATACAGGTCAGAAGTCTCGGTACACTTTAGGTGAGTGACAGTTGGGTAGATGGATGACCTTCAGATAGTTTAAGTGAAGAAGTTCTTTTAAATGATTGAAAGTGATCATCATAGAATCAACTCCATTATGAAGATAAATTGTGAGAGTCAGGTGAGGAATTGACTTCAATGTGTTATAACATTGTGTAAATGAATCTTCATTATTAAGATCTTTTACATTTTATTTTTGAACTTGTTTTTCTATTATTCTAAACTTCCAAAAATAAAATTAAAGTAGTTAAAGCATGCTACAAACATTTAATGTATCTTGGCAAGTTTTCAAGGTTATTGCAGAAGTGCTTTAATTTCAAAAGATAACTAATTAATGCAAACCTGGAAAAGAAATGGATGTTATTCTCTATAATTTCAAAGATTATGTTTATTATTAGCACTCCTGAGAGATCTGAGTACCCAGCCTACTGTTGAATTAATTAGTGACCCAGAAAAGATGACAGAGAGGGGAATCAAATATGGATGCCATCATGATCAAGAATATATACATTGACTAGAAAATATCTGAAAATATATTGATGAACATTCAAGCATTTATAATAATGAAAGTTATTCCGCAAGAGAGTTTTTGCACAAGTTTAATTTTCAGTAAAATTGTGTATATTGTGCACTGAGGAACTTAGTATGTAACTCATTATGATTATCCATTTCTTTAGAGGATGTATTCGGAGCATATTTAAATAATCATTATCTTCTAGAAAAGAGCACACAAAACTTTTCTCTCTGTGCGGAGCATGACACATATGCAAACACTCCAGCATTTACCACAACCACAGTTACATATTTTCCAGGGCGTTTGAAGTCGAGCACATACATGAAAATGTGTTAAGCTGGACACGTGCAAACACACAAGCATCTATCACAACCAATTACATATTTTCCAAGGCGTGTGAAGTCGAGCACATACATGAAAATGTGTGAAGCTGGACACATATGCAAACACACAAGCATCTACCACAACACCAGTTACATATTTTCCAAGGCGTGTGAAGTCGAGCACATACATGAAAATGTGTGAAGCTGGACACATATGCAAACACACAAGCATCTACCACAACACCAGTTACATATTTTCCAAGGCGTGTGAAGTCGAGCACATACATGAAAATGTGTGAAGCTGGACACATATGCAAACACACAAGCATCTACCACAACACCAGTTACATATTTTCCAAGGCGTGTGAAGTCGAGCACATACATGAAAATGTGTGAAGCTGGACACATATGCAAACACACAAGCATTTACCACAACCACAGTTACATATTTTCCAGGGCGTTTGAAGTTGAGCACATACATGAAAATGTGTTAAGCTGGACACATATGCAAACACACAAGCATCTATCACAACCAATTACATATTTTCCAAGGCGTGTGAAGTCGAGCACATACATGAAAATGTGTGAAGCTGGACACATATGCAAACACACAAGCATCTACCACAACACCAGTTACATATTTTCCAAGGCGTGTGAAGTCGAGCACATACATGAAAATGTGTGAAGCTGGACACATATGCAAACACACAAGCATCTACCACAACCAGTTACATATTTTCCAAGGCGTGTGAAGATGTACACCTATGTAAACATAATCTCCTACCACAGTCGCAACACATGTAACATTTAGTCCAAAGTATAAAGTCAAGCTCAAACAGGCTCACTGCGTGAAGCTGGACACATGCATTTACTTATGCATCTTGCAAAACCACATCTGAACCTATATTCTAATAGGTGTTTAAGCAATTTTGTGAATATGTAAATTGCACCATTATGCTTACAAGATGTCAACATTATTAACCTGTACATAAATACTCATTAGATAGCCTTTAATAGTTTAAGTTGGAAATACTAGTACTTTGCCTGATTTATGTTGTGTAGTTTCTCGTCAGTGATCTTGAGTAATAACTGAGTATGGCATTTTTAGTTCCATTTAAACTGCAAAGTTTTAACACATGTACATGCACCATAAAGGATAAATAATATTGTATTGTATTTTAACCTTTTTTAATTTTATTCTTTGTCATTTTATTGCCTGTTCAAGTAAAAGATGTAATCTTGTAATGTTTGTAACTGTTTTTGGTAGATATTTATGAAGCAGAAATTATAACAGAAAAGGTTTCAATACATCTACACAAAAAGCAAATAAAAAAGAGTTCTCCATCTATCAGATATCAGCAAATCAGATAAGTTGAAGGTTAAGTCATAGGGAATTTTAAAGTTTATTATATCTATATTCTGATATCTGATACCATTTTTACATTTTTGATTGTCCATCTACAGTATACAAAAATAGTATAAATTTTTTATATTTTGTAGATGATAATCTCTAATACTAAATACAACTGGAAATTGATATAACGCTTGAAAATTTGTGTATTTTTAGTAAGATCAAGTTTAACAAAAATGAGGTGAGGGTAACACAAAAGACACATCAGATACCTATTTATTTTAAAAGTCAAAAACCATTTGTTGAAATCTTAAGTACAAGTGTATTAAACAAAGGCCAGTATTTAAATAAGGATTTAAAAAGTTTCATATATTTATATATATATATATATATATATATATATATATATATATATATATATATATATATATATATATATATATATATATATATATCAACTTTAATGCAGCATTAAAGGTGAAAGGTTAAATTTAATTACCTTTTCTTTTAAGTAAAGGTTACCTTTTCACCTTTACTTTTTGTAAAGTTAATACAAAGATGACCTTGCTTTTTGGAGCACCTTTAATGAGATTTACTTTGCAAGTAAAGTTTTGTAAAGCTATTTTTTCAAGCAGTGTATGTTTCCGACATACATAAAGTATTTCGGCAAGTTATAATAAAATTTACTACATTTTAACGAAATGATTGTACAGTTGGTGAAAATCATAAATGTAAAGATAATTTGTTCCATAAATGAACGCCGGGATAATGGAAAGAATTTCTTAACCGATTTGTTCTATACTTTGGTAGACGAAGGTCATAATTGGTTTCAGAACCTTAAATATAGTTATCAGAAGAAATGAATTCAAATTAGACTCTCAGATATTCAGGTGCCATACCTATTTTTATGAAAATTAATCAATTCATATATGGCATGCCATCAAGGTTTTTTTTTTCAAATAATGGCAGTGATAGGGTATCATGGGCAATGTCTAATATAACCCTGGTTGCCCTTTTTGCGATTTCAAATCTCTGTCTATGCCAGTATCTGGTGCATTGCTCCAAATAGTTAAACAATAATTTAAAGAAGGCAGCGTAAATAGTTTTCTTGTATGTGGTGGGAATTTGTTTTTAATTTTGCGTAAGGTAAATAATTTATACGTCAAAGTTTTACAAACTTAATCAATATGGCAATTATAGCGCAATGAATGATCAATATGTACTCTTAAAAGTTTTTTTTTCAGTTTCAACATTTTAATCACTTTGTCTAATATAATGATATGAATTTAGTTCAGAAGAATTTATCTTACATTTTCTATGTTGAGTTCCCAAAAGCATACATTTTGTTTTATCGATATTCAACACCATTTGATTTCTGGAACACCAATTTTCAAAATTGAGGACATTTTCAATACGCTGTACATTTTCATGATATTTATGCAAGGTTGCATGATCGGCAAACATATAAATATCTGTTTTATTTATCTGCAGAGGAAGATCATTTATGTACAGTCAAAATAATAGTAGGCCTAAGATAGATCCTTGAGGCACTCCTGCTGTGACGGGCAAAAATCAGAGGAATATGTACCTATTTTTTCACACTGAGACCCTGAGGTTAACATGGTTAAGTAGGAGTTAAACCATTTAATAGCCAGTTGGTCAAAGTGATATGAATGATGTTTATTTTTAAGGATTTCATGATTAACCAAGTCAAATTCTTTGCTAAAATTAAGGGAAGTTATGCCTACTAGATTTCCTTGATCCATAGCATGTAACCAATTGTCTGTTAGTTTTTGCTAGAGCCGTCTGACAGGAATGAAATTCTCGAAATCCAGATTGTGATTTAAGGACATATGCAACATGCCTTACCTACTGATAATTTTTCAAGATATTCTTAATTTAAGATTATAGTGCCATCAGATGTTCGTAGACAAAAAATCAGCATGCATTACCAGGGGAGTTGAAAAGATATCAATTGATGAAAATTCTTGTATAATTCAAAAAAATACTAGTATATACCAAAATTACTAAACATATATTCTAGATGCTTTGTTTATCCAAACTTGAGTAAGAAGAAGTGTGCAACAGAATATATAAACATTAAATTGTAGCACAAAGTTCCTTTAAATATTGGAACTCTTCAACTCCAGGGAAAAAGACAATAATATCAAACTTCGTTGTGTATATGTCCTTAAATAAAAGATCAAAGCTAGAGGTAAAGTTCGTAATTGATCGGTTATGTGTTTTTCAACTAATTTTGATAATGTTGGAAGAATGGATATAGGTCTGTAGTTCCCTGGATCTGCATGGTCGCCATACTTGAAAATTGGAGTGACTATTGCTCGCTTTAAACGTGAGGGAAATATATACAGGGTGACCCGGAATATATACAATTTCATGATTCTGTAAAACCTAACATAATGAATATTGTATTACAACAAATGCATTATAAACATTGCGTATACTGACCAATTTTATTCACATGATTTGACGGTCATTAAAAAGAAAACAACAAAATTAGTTCACTTAGAAAAATGCTATGTTTTTTAAATGATGTCCTCTAAATGACGTCCTATCAGGGAAATGGTCATGGCAAGACATTGCACAAAATTCCTTAGGACATCAGTGCATCTTCTGGATTTCCATCGGAAATACATGTATACTTTTTAGATACGTTAAAAATTTAGGTTTGGGTTTAGTAACAGTAACTTAAGACTGGGTTTGATAATTACAGTTTCAAAGTGAGGGTAACTTGAGTAACAGTAACTTAAGACTGGATTTGATAATTACAGTTTCAAAGTGAGGGTAACTTGAGTAACAGTAACTTAAGACTGGATTTGATAATTACAGTTTCAAAGTGAGGCTAACTTGAGTAACAGTAACTTAAGACTGGATTTGATAATTACAGTTTCAAAGTGAGGCTAACTTGAGTAACAGTAACTTAAGACTGGGTTTGATAATTACAGTTTCAATGTGAGGCTAACTTGCTCTTTTGATAAATCCATTTCGATTGAAATGCAATTTTTAGCAAAATTTTGATGTAATTTTGTGACATAACAATTCCAAATGATTAAAGAAGTTTTTTACTAGTATATTTGTTCCTAAAAATCATATTCATTCAAATATTAATTGAGACATACATCAAAGACATATGTCTGTGTGTTTCTGACGTTATTTCAACCGATATATTTTGGGACACCCTCTATAATGTTTGAAACACAGATAGGTCAGGGGTACTTTAAAAACATCGATTAAGACTCAGCAATGTTGAACTACAATTTGTATTCAGTTTTTATAACAAGCCTCCAAAGATTTTACTCATAAAAATAATGGTATTATGCAATTTGCCTACTTAAATTACGAATTTAAAAAACATTTGAGACAATTACTTG